ATTGATTCGGATCAACTTGGAGAAGAAAAGAGCAAGTTTGGGTTGTTCGAGGGTCGGAAAACACAACCAAACTTGTGGCCAATGCACATCCCTACCTAGGGGTGGCACCACCCTTTTCGGTGTGCACCGCCACCCCCTGCAACGTGCCAATTTCAGCAGCACCACCCTTTCGTATTTTGGGCATAACTCTTAGTTCTAAACTCCGATTTTGATGATCTAGGACTTTTCGAAAAGCTAATTAAATGCTCTACAAACTTGAGGTGGTGGAAATCAAGTTTGATCTAAAGGTGGCACCGCCATATTTTTTTAGAGATGGGCGAAAACGCATTTTGGGTGCCACGGGGCCACCGCCACCGCTTGTCCGGTGCCCAAGTGTCCAACGTCTAGCTATGCTGCATGGATACGGATACGCATATCGTTATCGGGAGGATACAGATACGCGGATACGGAAATTTTCTAAAAAAATCTGATATGTGGGTATGTTTTACTATTTTAAAATAAAAAATATAATAATGCATATTAAAACTAATAACAATAAAACATTGCAGTCTACTTAACTACTTAAGTTCTATTATTTATTTTACTATTAATAAATGGCATTTAGGCTCACATCAACTCCCTATTTCCTCATTTGTTTCACTCTCATCCACATTCCACAACATCAAACTGATCGAGTAGATCGAGAACGGAAAAAGGAGACGCCATCTACTCATATTTGGAGACACCAGACGCCATCCACTGCATACAAAGAAAATCAACAAGAAATTAAGAAATGCAAAAATAGAGTAGATCAAGAATGGAAAGAGGAAGAGGAAGTGTGGACCAAAGAAATCAAACAACAATAAGTCATGAACTGCAGAAATATAGTGGATCGAGAATAGGGAAGGGGGTGAATTCACAGGAGGTCGCTGGACGCCTGGATCCATGTCACGAGGTCAGAGACGTTGCCGACGGCCAGCGAGCAGAGGCGAAGGCTCATTGCCGGAGAGCGGGGGCGGAGGCTCGTCGCCGGCAGCCGGCGAGCAGGACGAGGCATCACCGCGCGTGTTCACTGGAGGCAGCATGAAGTGCGGGCATCGGGGGCTGGAGTTGGAGACATAGGAAGGGAGTACGCGGGTGTTTGTTGGGCCAGGCTGTATCGAATGGGTAGATACGTATCGGTTGATGTACTCAATATTCGCGAAATTAATAAAAAAATGGATACTCTTCATATACGTATCCATCACATATCGGACGTGTATTCGTATCGGATACGTATCTGATATGGGATATGACACCTTCCTGGCGTATCCATGTTACATAGACGGCAAGTTTGAAATAGCCGTTGCAATTCGACCGTTGGGGAACCACCACCTCTTGTCTGGTGCTCGCATGTTGCTGTCCGGTGACCACGCAGAAATGTGTTTCAAGGCTCCAACGACTCTATTTGGCTTGGGGCTATAAATAGAGGTAAATCTCAGGCTTGGCTGAGGTTGAGCACCTTGAGGATGTGTTGCCCTTGTGTGTGCTTGGTTTGAGAAGCATCTAACTCACTTGTGCTTCCAAGAGTTCGATCCAATTACGAGTGAGTGATTCTAGTGCAAGTGCATTAAAAGATTGCATCGAGTGGCACTAGATTTTTGAGTTGCAAGCCACTCGTGCTTGTTACTCTTGGAGGTTGCCACCTCCTAGATGGCTTGGTGGCTTGTGGCTCCGTCGAAGCGCGCAAGAAGATTGTGCGGTGCTCCGGAGAAGGATTGTGAGGTATATTGTGCTCGCCCTACGGGGATCACGAAGAGCAACTCTAGTTGAGCGTGTCATTGAGCTACCCTCACTTTTGGGGTAGGCTCTTGCGGTGCCCAACGTGTAGGCTTGGCGAGCGATGCCAATTAGCCGTCTAACCATCAAGTGAGTGATCGACATGACGGGGACAAGCTTGGTGGCAGCCAAGTGAACCTCGGGAGAAAAATCACCGTGTCAATATTATTCTTCCTATTGGTTTGCATTCCCCATACACAAACTTGTATTTACTTTCATATATATTGTGCTTGTGTAGTTGCTCTTGTAATTAGTTAGCTTGTGTAGATTGCTAGTTACATTCTTGTTTGTGTACCATAGAAGTAGCTTCCTTGCATGACTAATTTGGTTTGAGTAACCTTGTTAGTCACATTGCTTAGTTTGTGTAGCTAAGTAATTTGAGCTCTCTTATTTGGCTTGTGTAGCCTTGTTATCGAGCATTGCTAGTGAGCTTAGACTTTGTGCTTTTATATACTAATTGTGTAGGAGCTCCCCCGTACTTGAAGTATTAGTTGTATAGGTTTGTGTGACCTTACTTCTAAAATTGGTTAGATGAGCTCTAGCTAGTCCGACACCTTAGTTGCTTAATTAGTATCTTTGTAAGGTGTTAGAGAATTTAGATAGAGGTGTGTAGTCTTGGTTGGACCGTTAATTTTAATTCTGCATTTGTTTCGTTAGTCGATATGATTTATTTTAAAAAGAACTATTTACCTCCCTCTAGTCCGCTATCTCGACCCTACACTGAGTTATAATGTTGGTTTTCACACCGCCGGCTGGTAGGTTGAACTAGTGATAAAAACCAGTTCGATTTTCACCACCGAACGGATAGTGGTATATTATCACCGTCGCTTTTAACAAAACCGGTGGTGAAAAAAGTGTTGGCAAAAATAATTTTTTAGTAGTGATCACTGATTAGAAACTCACCTAGCAAGTCACAAGTTGATCACAATCATCAGATGTGTTGAGAATCGGCCTATACATGGATCGCCAGATCCGTTTTTCTATTCCTGATCCCAAGAAATAGGCACGTAGGAGTCATAGATAGATCCTGTCTCCCTTGCTCAATCCCAAAAACAAAACACAAGAACACACATGAGACACACATATATGAGGGGAGCCATCTCTTCATTAGTCATTATATTACATGTGTACCTATAATGACTAATGAAGAGATGGCTCCCCTCATATACGTGTGTCTCATGTGTGTTCTTGTGTCTTGTTCTTGGGATTAGGCAAGGGAGACGGGATCTATCTACGACTTCTACACGTCTTTTTCTTGGGATCAAGAGCGGGAAACGGATCTGGCAATCCGTAGATAGGCCGATTCTCAACACGTTATTAGCAGCTCTACCGCTAGGTGAGTCGTTCTACATAGTGCCGGTCCTACGATTTTAAGGGCCCTCTGGCGATTTCATCGCAATGGCCCCTCTTAACCATATATAAAATCTTATAATATATAGGCACTAATTTTATTTGCAAAACAAAAGCAAATTCAATAACATATTTTTAATTTAACATGTCTGATAATTATGGAGGAACAATGTAGATTAAGCAATATATTTGTAGATGTATGATAATTATCAGAGAATAATGTAGATTAAAAAAACAATATATTCGTTTTCTTTTCTCACCCATGACAAATGTTTTTTAGGTAATATTTTAAAATTCTAACACCTAAATTAGAAGAAAAATATGACTATATGGGTACAAAGTGCTAGAAGTTTGGAATACTATACAAATAATTAATTTGGATTAAAAATAAAAAGAAAATAATACATTGGGCCTAAACAACTGATCGGCGATAGCAATTCGTAAGAAGCCAAGAATCAAGATGTCGTCGTCGTGGAGCCCTGCCTGGTTGCCGTCCTCGTGTGCCGTGTCCGTGTCTCCGGTAGTCTAGCTTTTCGTGGCAGCGCGACTCGCCAACTCCGTGTGTGTAAGGCGTACGTCGCGAACTCACGATCAGCGCGTGTTGTGTGCAGCGTGACTCATCGCCTCCTCTCTACCCGAGGGCCGTGTGGAAAGGAAACTAAAAAAGAAATACCGATGTTGTCTTTTTGGACCGTTTGACCAGTTCTATATCTCTTTTTTTATTAATTTGCTAATATCTAATGAATTATAGGACATGGGGGTTTATATACCTGGACTTAGGCTCCTTGTCCACTTAGACCCTCGGCCATCACACCTCGTGGCCACCCCTGGGGCCGGCACCTTCTACATCGTTGTGTTTAGATCAATTTGTATTTGCCATGGGTAATGATGAATTGATCTTCTCGTTTCCGATTGGTCGCTGATGCACCTGTTGATGCCTTCGGGCGCGTCCTCCGTTTCTGAGCAAATCAGCGCGCACGCATGATGCATGACGCGAGATCTGTCAGACAGCCAACATACCAAAAGCTTGCGATTCAGGTAATCGAGTGCTTGTGCTTAGCCCGCGTGTTTAGTTAAACAAAACTTCTCAAAAAGTGCTACAGTAGCCATCACCCGTATAGAGCATTAATGTAGACGAAAAAAACTAATTGCACAGTTTGGTTGAAAATCGCGAGACGAACATTTTGAGCCTAATTAGTCCATGATTGAACACTAATTGCCAAATAAAAACGAAAGTGCTACAGTAGCCGAATTTTCAACTTTCCCCCAACTAAACACGCCCTCAGATCAAATGGATGCCGCTATGTGAACATGGACATGTTATGGATCACGTGCATGTGATTTTCACCATATCGTCAACGTTGGAGGCCTCACTACAACACAACCCCCATATTGCAACATATCTCTTCCAACGATAGCACCATGCGTTGTAGGTATTCCCACCTCCTCCGCTTCCGACGCCGCCCCGCGAGCAAGCGGCAATTATATTATGTCTCTACCCCTATAATACACCACTTCAAATTATCCTACAGCCACCAAACAAATTCTACCTCTACAGTCACGATCTAAACTACGTCCACCCCACAAAACGCACACAGAAAAATATAACATTAAAAACGTACGCACCAAATTAACTCTCACTCATTCTCTCTCCTTACTCAACCACATCGGACGGCCTATATTCTTTGGATCTCCCACCCCCGATCTCAGCGACCGAACGCCGACTCCGAGCAAGGCGATCACGCCCCTCCCTTCGGCGGTTCGGCCTCCACGCTCCCGACATCCACGACACATCCCGGATTCCCGGTCGAGTGAGTCAATCCCCCCATGGCGGCGGAAGACGAGGCGCAGCCATGGAGATGAGCGGCCTGGACCTGTGGAAGCACGAGAAGCCCCCAAGGATCTGCCCTTTGCCCCCGCCGCTCCCGCCGGCGGCGGCGTGCAATGAGGCGGCGCTCGTGCCGCCGCTCAACTTCGCCATGGTCGACGACGGCATCTTCCGCTCTAGCTTCCCAGATACCTCCAACTTCCGGTTCCTCAAGTCCCTCAACCTCCGCTCCATCGTGTAATCTCTTTCGCTCCCCCACGCTGCGCCTTCTCTCGAATTACCGCGAAAGTTGCCGCATGCTCGTGCGGCGTTCTGAAATGTTCTAGCGCGCCTAGGTACCTGTGCCCGGAACCGTACCCGGAGACGAACATGGAGTTCCTCGAGAAGAATCGGATGAGGCTCCATCAATTCGGAATCGAGGGACGCAAGGAAAAACAATTAACAATCCGGCCACCTGGTTTCAACGAAATCTTCTACTGCTTTGCGGTTGGTTAGCGATAGCTCATGGAGGCATAGAATTACCTTGGAGGGATCAATTTGTGTATATATTAAAAAGAATAGAGTTTTGGTGGCCTCTCTCATGCTTTTCAGAGTTGATAAGCGCATGGTCCAGGAGCATGCTCCAGGAGCAGGTTTACTCTTTGCTGTCGCATTTTATCTTCAGAAAGTAAAAAACCATGACTCAAGCCTTCAACTTATTTATTTATGAATGATCAAATCATTCATTTAGTAGCAAGGATATTGTTGTGCGCATGCTATGTTCAGTTATTAAGTGATAATTTGATGTGCGTGAAAATCTATTTTTTCTTTATAAATGCAATTTTATCCTTATAGTTGATAAAACATCTAATCTAACTTTTTGAAACATATTTTTTTTGCTTCAATGCAAATAATAAATATTTTTATAAACACGTGTCAGGCCGTGTCGTCCTCTGCCTGTGTTCCCATCTTCAATTCACATGTTTCTTTTACCGGCATGAGGGTTTTCATCGATCTTCATCTCACCATTGCAAAGGATATAGGTATTTATACATTTGAAGTATACAAATAAATATATCACAGATTTGATCAACTCATGACATGTGTGTGAATCCTATTGGATGCTTCAATTCAAGCTTTTGCATCTTCAATTTAATTTTGCATGCTCCACTGTCATACATGACTTAGATTAGCATGTTTTCAGTTTTGCTATCGCTGATGGCGAATAAGGAGCTGATAGATTTGGCTGCAAAGGTACTGTAAAGTATTGCATTGCGTTCATTATTAGATTGAATTTGTGAGAAAAGAAAGAAAAAGTCTTATTTGGTGTGGTCGAGTGTTCATAATACGATAGATCATGTTTTTTTTATATTTGGGAAGAAGACATATTACATGCAGTGAGCTAATAAGAATGTGAACCTAGACAAGTTGAGAAGATACCCACATGGACAATAATTAGTTTGATTTACTCTGTTTGAAGTTTAAGTTATTTGTGATTACTTGTGTCAACCATTTGGTAGTGAAGAATTATTTGGGCAGAATATTGGCAGCATTTGAGTGTATACAAGTGATCTGCCTTTTTTTTTTACTTTGCCACTAACATAGTACATTTGAGCTGTGCATTAGTCGTGTTGAGTTTTGTGCCAGCTTTCAACATAGGGAAACCTATGGCTTCAACAGGAGTGCGGAAGAAGAAATTAGAAAGTAATATCACTGCGTACAGGTGGACAACTTATTTTGTGAAGAGGAGAGAGAGGTGATGGATCATTTTGGAGGAGTTGAAAGGAAAGATTAATTTTAGAGAAGATAAAGAAGAGGTCAAATTTGGCATGCCATTAAATAAACGATATCGCATGTTTTTACTTTTCTGTATGAACTATAGAGTTAGAATTATTAATCTCTTATGAATTAAATGTATGATTTATGTTTCTTTGTAAAATGTATCAGAGTAACACTACATTATAATATATCTATGTTTGTAATGAATATTGATACGCATTGAATCTTCACAATCATAAACCCTGGAAATTTTCACATTATAATGTCCGGACCATGGAAATTTTTATATGTTTACTTGTTATTTTTTCACTAGAAGAAACTTTTTAAGACACGTGCGGTGCAAGAAACTTTTTAAGACACGTGCGTGCCGCACGTGCATATAAACTAGTCTTCCTTAATCCTCGGCTCCTCACCGCGGCGGTTAGTATTCCTATTTCTAACTTTTATTCTGGACTCTCATGTCTCAGCATTGTTTGCCCCTCTCCTTGCCGGAGCCGCCGTTCGAGTCGTGCGGAGCAGCGGCAGCCGCTCGGGCACACAGCCGCCGGTAAGGCATGGCGCAAGGCGCGACCACCGTCATGGGACATACGCGCAGCAGCGGACCTGATCTACACGGCAGTCGGCAGCCCGTGGTTGGGAGATACGGCGGCAACAATTTGCCTAGGCCCCCAGGCTAGCAGCAGGGCAATCCACTCTGCCTCCACCATATCTGCAAATACACTGGCCCCGATGTCATCTTCTGCAAATACACAGGTCCCGATCTGATCCCCTCAAAGCTTTGTGTCTTACAGTATGCTAAATCCATCGTGTCTCATTTGTGTCTTATGCTAGATCCATCGTGTGGCACCCTTCTGGTTGGATCAGAAGGATCTGGTTAATGATGGTGCCCTCTGTGCGATGATCTTCCCATCAAAGAGTACTACCTCAAATCACTAATTGCGGTTTCAATCCTTGCCCAGTTAATTAATCGGTTCATGCATTGTGGTAAACTGGTAATTATTGTAACAGCCTCATATAATCACGGTTGGTGTCGCATGAGCAGCAGCAGATTAGAGAAGCACTGCATGGTATAGTGGTACTCTATAGAGATGCGGCCGATCGTTTGGTAGGTTATGTATCTCAATTCGATATTTTTTTCCTTCTACCGTAATCTTTTTGTACTTGATTTTTTATTCAGTTTCTGATATATCATGGTGATTACTATTATGAGTTTTAGTTATTTTTTAGAACTTGCAAACAAAGAAAAATCTTCTGAATTTTATACTATAAATGTGTGATATATAGGTACGAGCTATGAAGAGACAGAAGAACAAATCATTATTTAGCCCCGCAAAAAAAACAAATCATTATTAAGAAACTAAGGTCTGGCAGGGTAAGGCTACCGCTTCAAGTATATACGTTTTGTTGTCTCTATTTTTAGCATTGTTTGATTCTAACTTCATTATTTTTTTTGTGAACCTGATGTCTACTTTAATATTATTTCTAAATGTTGCTTTAATTTCAAAGACAAAATATCTCTGGGTATCTAAAATATTTTACTTACAGTTGACAAAGGGGTAGGCCTGGTTACAGAAAATTTGAATTATCCCGACGTCTGCTGGCAGACTCCGCCTGGCCCGACGTTCGGGGGCTGGCTCCGCCTCGCCCGACGTCTGCGGGTAGACTCCGCCTCGCCCGACGTCCGGGGGTTGGCTCTGCCTTGCCCGACATTCGGAAGCTGGCTCCGCCTCACCCGACGTTTGCACGCTGCTCCTTCATAACTACGCGCGCAGATAAGGCAGGGCACTCGAGTCAAACCGCAATACCGAGGACCATACCCTGCACGCCTGTAGAAAAGTACCATCAGGATATGACAAGACGGGCGCTTTAAGCCCTTCCGGGCATGTCAGAGCCCGAGCAGTGTTGTAGGCGCCGACATTTGAATTACAGTGTTGTGGGTGTCGCCATTTGCTCTCGGGCATGGATCCTGACGGAAGCATACGACAACCACTACGGTCCAGGAGGAAACTCGCATCATCTACAGTACGAACGTACGATCACTACGCCGTCTGCTCCCTGTAGGGTCGCGGATTAGCACCCTGGTCCATCGCGCCGCCCGCCGGGGCGGGATGGGGCGTGACCGCTTTCTGATCAAGCCAGAACATGGCATCATCAGCGGACAGACGCCCAACGCGGCCCTATCAGGATCAACGGACATGCACCCAGCATGGAGCTATCCCTGGCACCGTCTGTCGTGTCAGCGGGGCTCGCTCAGAGGAAAAGGAAGACCCGGCATCTCGGTAGGACCTCCTTTGCCTCTGGTTTTTCTTCTTTCTCCTATCTGTAATCTATGCTTCCCCTTGGTCCATAAAAGAGAAGGCAGGACACCCCACTAAGGGGACGGATCAATTGAACACACCACACATCACATCACACATAGCTGAACAGCGACCGAGCTCTCGGCACCCATTCGACCTTTCCATCAGAGATTTGGGATCTTTTCCTCTCTCGCCCGTTTGTAACCCCTACTATGAATTTTTTAGTGCAAATAACACGAGCAGCAGCCACGAACTGAACGTAGGGACATTCTGCCCGAACCAGTATAAACCTTGTGTCTTTTTAGCACACCATCCGGGCCAGACATGCAATAACACAAATTTACTCGTTGGTGTTTACTCGAAACACCGACAGTTGGTGCGCCAGGTAGGGAACCTTTACGCGTTCCGACATTAAAATCAGGCCACGGATGGCTAGCTACGGTATTAGCTGGGTCCCGGGCGCACACGTGCGCTTCGGGGACCTGAACTTTATCATCACGGTGGGAGGAGAGTTGGCATTGGCTCACGCCGCCATCCAACCTCTCCTCTCCATCGGCCTCGACTATGGGAGGCTTGAGCGCCAGCTCGGCATCTCCCTGGGACCCTAGCCATCCAGGGAGGACCCACGCCGCCTCACCTTCTCTGACGCCAACGTCATGGCGTGGCTCAATGGAGGGGAACCCCTCTCTCCGGAACACCTTATACGGAGCGCCATGACAGTGCTTCCGTTCGGTCTACGCAACGCTACGATGACCGTTAGCCACCTTGTGGCACAACGCATGGTCCCATGGCCCATGAACGACGAATTCATGGGGGTGATCGAACACGTCGTGGAATCTTTCCATGACCTCCTAGTAGAGGAGCCAGAGTCGCCCTCTGGCTCTGACTCTAGCAGGGGAAGCCACCACCCCTCGCGTGAATGCTTCATGACGGGTACCCCCAAGGGGCACATCGAAAGCGTCCACGAGGAGGAGGCTACCCCAACAAATGACCTCGATGACGAGGCCGAGAGAGAGACATCAGCCCCGCCACGCATGCCAGTGGAGCAGCTGAAAGCCCGACACCGAGAGATCAAGGAAGCACGACTCCAGCTCGAGCAGGAATACGTGGAGCTCGATCGGTAGATCGAGCGCCACGGAGATGGTGGGCGCGCCCGCGCCATGGCCTATGATGTGAACCGGAGGAT